TGCTGACCTGATCCTTTCCATAGCTGGCCTCTGTGAAACTAAGGGGTTTTCTTGGAGATTAATCTCTTTGACCCTTGATATTTAGTAGTATGTGTTACGAAAATAATTATTTCAATGCTGTTTTCTTTTCAGAGGAAGAAAAAGTTGCTTTTGTTAACTGGATAAATAAGGCTCTACAAGATGACCCAGACTGTAAGCACCTCCTACCTATGAACCCATCAGATGCCAGTCTTTTTAAATGCCTTGCAGATGGCATTCTTCTTTGGTGAGTTCAGGGCTGTGAGAAAGAAAATAAATTAATCTCACTGATCACAGGGACATGAATTGGAAAACTTCTGATGGGCTTCACTGTCAGGACTCCACTGTTAAATATTTCAACCAATATATAGGATAGGGAAAATTTGCCCATAGCAAATTTTTAATACGACACTGCATGTATTATAGAAGTGAATTTCTGCTGCAGATCCATAATTATACATGTCAGATACATACAGGCTGTTTATAAAGGAGGTATTACACAGTTCATATATTCATTAGCTGAAATAATTAGAAATCTTGCAAAAATTTTTTAAAAGTTACTAAGTCATAGGATGAGAGGAACAGAAACCTTAGTTAAATCCATATCAAAACAGAGAATATGGAGTAGCTCTCTTAACTTTAGTCTGCTGTAACTTTCCAGTTAGTTAAGTACACTAATAGTACTTATTCATACACCATGGTAACAAGGAATTAGCTTATTTGGATTGGTGTGAATTTGTATTTGAGATCTTTGTAGATGCAAGATAGTACAGAAATGCAGTGCAGAGAAATATTTGCTATATTACAAATTTTTTCACTATGAAGTATTTAACTGTCTTTAGTTTACAGTTTTAATCTTGTAAATAACTGTTCTTTGACAACACTGATGTGCTCTGTTACTGAAGTATAAAACCCAAGTTGCCAATAATTGCATATTATCTGAAGATTTGTAGATTAATTACTCACTAGGGAGAGGAGATTCAGAGGATAAGATGGTCTTTTTTAACTTGTCAGATATGTTTACAGCCAGTTTCAAGTGCTAGGAGTTCATAAGAAAGTAATGTATTTTCTGAGAAACAAAAGGTTAAATAAACTGATTTATCTTCCTTAGCAAAATGATCAACTTTTCACAACCAGATACAATTGATGAAAGGGCTATTAATAAGAAGAAACTTACTCCCTTCACTGTTTCTGTAAGTACTGCACAGATAGGAACTTGCCACAAATTAAAAAGTAAAATATTTTTCTATAGCTTTGTTTTAATGACAATTCTCATGGTGGAGAAAAAAAAAAAAAAAAAGAAAAAGTCCAATATGTTAAAAAATATTGAAGAGTGAAATTCTATTTTCTAACAAACTTTCTTAGATGCTATACAGGAAAGGTGGGGGGTTTTTTCATGCTTTTCTTAGTTCTTTCCCTTTTCACTGTTCTCATTTTTGCTTTCCTAAGATTTGAGTGGGAATTCAATTCTTATTTTAGCAATGCAGAAAGTATCTATGGCTGTATGCTGTATAGTGGGATGATGAATTTTCAGTAGTGGAGAGTGGCTTGGACAGAAGATGAGCAGCTTTATTTTTAATTGTGTGTGAAGTCATGAAAATATTTCAGAGAAACAGTTACTAAAACCTTAGTTTGAGTATAATAGAACAGGTCTGGAAGAAGGAAGTAGATCTATAAGCTACCAGTCTAAGGAGGGGAAAAAAATCCTGATTAAAAACCACAGTTGATTGGCAGACTTCATTTCAGGCTGTGACATTAAAGTATGAAAAGTAAAGAAAAATACCATGTTCTAAATCCTTCAAGTGAGATTTGTAATCTCTACTTATTTAAAGATGTGTTAGCAAAGATAATACTGCTTGTGTTTATGTTCTTTCTAGATAGTTTAAATATGACACAAGAAAGTAGAGAGTAAAATTAACAAGAGCTGTCAAGTGTTTTTTTCTTGGAGTATTTAATCTGTGACAATTCTTAGCTTTACCTTCAGTGTCAGGTTATTGAATTGCTATCATTTTGTTATGCTGTCTGTTCAAGTACAGTTGATGATTTGCTTGTGTAAATGCCAGCTTGTTTAAGATCCAAGATGAGATGACAGGGATGTCAGTTACCTCCTGCACAGGGCAGAACTTCATATGAGCAAGTTTTTCCCCAGGAGCAAGCCCCTGGTATTTTGAGCAATATTGTTTAATTTGTGTGTATGTTACTTATGAGTTAGAAAAATATTTTGATAAGGATATTCCTCAACAATCCAAGCTGCTGAAGGTGGTCCATGATGCTTTGGTGCGTCTGTATTAAACACTGTCAATAAAGTTTTCCATTAAGTTTTTATAAGATAACACAGTGGTTCACAAAAGCTCTCCTGAATGTCATTTTTCTACTAGGAACAACTGAACTAATGCATAATATCTTGTAACTTCCAAAACTTAAAGTATTTAATATTAATAAACTTACTGAGAATTACAACCTCGTAAACTTGTTAATCAATGATGTTCCAAATAGGAAAACCTAAACCTGGCTCTGAACTCAGCATCTGCTATTGGCTGTACAGTTGTCAATATCGGATCACAAGACTTGCAAGAAGGAAGACCCCACTTGGTGTTAGGACTGTTGTGGCAGATCATTAAAGTTGGTCTTTTTGCTGATATTGAGATATCCAGAAATGAAGGTAAGAGTAATGCCATCCATAGCAATGTCTACAATTTGGAATTAACTTAAATCACAATAGCAATGATTTCAGCTTTCTTTCAAACTTGCTTTTAGCTCTTATTGCTTTGCTAAATGAAGGGGAAGAACTAGATGAGTTAATGAAGCTTTCCCCAGAAGAACTCTTGCTACGCTGGGTGAACTACCATCTGGCCAATGCAAGGTGGCAGAAAATCAGTAACTTCAGCCAAGACATTAAGGTATGTAGTTATTGCTCTGATACTTAATCATAATGGTATTTAAACACAGTATGCATAGAAACACAGAGCCACATCAGGAGTACTTAGAAGAATAGCAGTCATCTGCTCTCTCAAGCTCTAAGTTCATGCTGAATTTTCCAACACTCAAAGAGCATTATTTTGATCTCACATATCCTATTTGTTGCTCATACTATGTATGATCACATCACAGTGTAAAGCAAACATATCCAGTAAGTTCATATTCAGGGAAAGTCTAAGATTCTAGAGTTATTAGAGTTACTTAGGACAATTCACACTACCTTATTAGTTATTTTGCCTTTTCTGTAATGCCTGTCCATCCTTCCCTGCTTCTGGGTCCATGGAAACCCATCTTTTCTTCCTTTTGTTGTTTTTAGGAAGAAGTATGTTGCTCTGATACTTAATCATAATGATATTTAAACACACTATGCATAGAAACAAATGAGCCACTGTGACTAGTGGAGTCCCTCAGGCGTCGGTACTGGGACTGGTACTATTCAGTATTTTCATCAATGACCTGAATGAGGGAACAGAGTGTGCCCTCAGCAAGTTTGCTGATGACACTAAACTGGGAGGAGTGGCTGACACACCAGAAGGCTGTGCTGCCATTCAGCAAGACCTGGACAGGCTGGAGAGTTGGGCAGAGAGAAACTTGATGAAATTCAACAAGGGCAAATGTAGAGTCTTTCATGTGGGAAAGAACAACCCCATGTCCCAGTACAGGTTGGGGGCTGACCTGCTGGAGAGCAGTGTAGGAGAAAGGGACCTGGGGGTCCTGATGGACAGGAGGATGCCCATGAGCCAGCAATGTGCCCTTGTAGCCAAGAAGGCCAGTGGCATTCTGGAGTGCACTAGAAAGGGTCTGGTTAGTAGGTCAAGAGAGGTTCTCCTTCCCCTCTATTCTGCCTTGGTGAGGCTGCATCTGGCGTATTGTGTCCAGTTCTGGGCCCCTCAGTTCAAGAAGGACAGGGAACTGCTTGAAAGAGTCCAGTGCATACTGAGGGTTGACCTCATCAATGTTTACAAATATGTAAAAGGTGAGTGTCAGGAGGATGGAGCCAGGCTTTTTTCAGTGGTGTCCAGTAATAGGACAAGGGGCAATGGGTGCAAACGGGAACACAGGAGGTTCCATGTAAACATCAGAAAAAACTGTACTGTGAGGGTGACACAGCACTGGAACAGGCTGCCCAGAGAGGTTGTGGAGTCTCCGCTGGAGACATTCAAAACTCGCCTGGACACGTTCCTGTGTGATGTGCTCTGGGTGATCCTGCTCTGGCAGGGGGTTGGACTAGATGATCTTCTGAGGTCCCTTCCAACCCCTAAGACTCTGTGATTCTATGTAAAGGGCTATGAAGGCTACATGCTTGTTGTTTTGTTGTTGTTTTTTTTTTAATTATTATTACTCTGTTTGATTTAGGATTCAAGAGCATACTACCATCTGTTAAATCAGATTGCACCCAAAGGAGATGTTGATGAATTGTCTATTAATATTGACTTTTCGGGATTTCATGTAAGTATCCAGAAATGCAAAAATAGACTGGAATTATCTGAAACCTCTATGTATGTATCTAACATCCTGGTTCTGAGGCTGTCTCAGAGACCCCTTTTTTTGTAATGGATACAGTAGTTCAGGTTCCTCAGTGGCACAAAAGCTTAAATGGCTAAACACTTGAGTAAAGTTCCAGGGTGCTGCTAAAACAGGACAATGCAACCTGCAGTCTAAAACTGCCGTGCTTTACTTGGAGTGGTATCTAACGGTTTTTTATTTTGGTTTGGGTTCTCCAAGATGAATATTGCAACATCCTGCTTCAGTTCTGCTCTTCTGGAATTGAGACAAGGAAAAAGAGTGGACTTTTACGAACCTGGTGACCCTTCCTCAATCCAAACAGTGTCAGAAATAATATGTGAGGCCTTTCAGTAACCAGAAGGAAAAGGAAGTGTGGCAGCCATCAAGCTTTAAGCTGTAAAGGGATAGAGGGTCTAAAACCAGCCTAGGTAGACGAGAAAAAAACTTTTTCTGAGCTGCTACCTAACGGTCGTTGGAAATTTTTTTCTGAGAATGTATTTCATACAAAATTGAAGTGCCTGCCTAAAATAGAGATATCTGTATATCAATCAAAATCTTAAATAGAATCTTGTTCATAATGAAAACCCACATGTAAAATTGCCTACAAGCTTTAATCCTCTCAAGCTTATTCATGAGGAGAGCTCTGTTTTCTTTGTTTGCTTTTGTTTTGGGGATTTTTTTTGGTAGTCATAAAAGGTACTAGTTAATTTTTCTTTGTAATTTCCTACCATTTATATGGTCATGTTCTGTAATGGGTTATAAACCAGTATCAATAACGTGTAACAACTTGTTCTAGAGCAAGCTTCTAGTTGAGTGTATCAATGCTGAATTACTGACTGTTACTAAATTCTAACAGTTCAATTACTAACTAATTTTCTTAGAGTAACTCTCAGTGCTGTGAGGAACAGAGGCAAAAAGTATATGCTACTTGGTTTTGAAGATTGATTTATGTAGATTAATACTAAGGCTGAATAAACCAAATAGCAGACAGGTTACTGACTTAAGATGATTCAGAGGCACAAATTTGAAAAAGAAAGCAAGGTAGCACATTATCATATTCTGAAACATTCATTCTCTGGGGTTTTGGGCATCATCTAATTATTATGCTTGCACTTAAAAGTAGGGATGGTGAACCTACCGCATGTGTAGCAGAATGTGCAGAAAGGGAATCAACAATCTAAAACTAGAAATAAAACCACTACACCTCTGGCTGCTATTCCTGCAGCTGTGATTCATGGGGAATGCTGTGTAGGCACCTGCCAAAGCAAAGGACTGAGAGGAAGTCAAAGGAAGATGGAAAGAGGGGGAATTGTTATGGGCTGTAAGAGCAAGCTCAGGCACTGGGGGGAATGAAGGAAAGACTAGCATGGGTCACTTAGAGATATGCTAAGCTGAAGATTCTGTAAAGAATGAAAGTATGCTTGTATTCATTCCAACATTTATTTTTTTCTTTCAGGATAAAAATGACTTGAGAAGGGCTGAATACATGCTCCAACAAGCAGATAAATTGGGCTGCAGACAGTTTGTAACTCCAGCTGATGTAGTTGCAGGCAACCCTAAGCTAAATTTGGCTTTTGTTGCAAATCTCTTTAACACGTATCCAGCCCTACACAAGCCTGAGAATTCATCGTACGATCCCAATTTATTAGAAGGTACTCAACTTGCTAAGCATACAGGAGAAAATATTATTGATTTTGATTTGTGTTCCTTCTAGGCTGTGATACAGGATCGGTGTGTGATGGTGCCTGTGTTAATGCCAGCATATAGAGCTTTCTCACTAACTTTCAATACAAACCTGTAGTACAAGTCCCTGTCACTGTGAATATTGTTCATTTATGTTAGCCTGACCAAAACTTATTAATGAATAACCTTCTACCATTCATTTGCAGGAGCAAAAACTCTACTCCCAGTTACCTGTGCTTTCCATACTGTCTATATTTTAGCTGATGCACAAATTCTAGCTTTCCTTAATTTTCAGTGCTATACTATGCAACTATTTTTTACAGTAATTTTCACATATTGTGTTTATATATATATGTATCTGTGTGTATGTGTATTACTTTGTTGCCTTTTAAAACAGGAAACATTTTTGTTAAAAAAAAGGTTTATATCACCAACCTCTAGTAATCTATTGCATCAGCAACATATATAGATTCTAGCATATTGGCAAGTTTGGACTTGAACTGTACAGTTCAGATCATTGATGCTAGAGATGAAGGGATAATTGGTAGCAATCTTTAGCTGTTACCCTTTCTGTGGACCAGCTAATATAGGATAATGAAATGGCTCCTGCCAGTGTATTTCAGTTGTTCAGTGATCTCAAAGGAATGGTGAGAATCAGGGGTGCTGCACTCGGGAGAATCATCAGCAATGTTCACACATTCCTCTGCATTGCCCACTCCTGCCTTCCTCTTACTGTTCCTATCAGGTTTCCTTTCCATCTAGGTGAGTCCATTTTCCTTTCCTCCTCTTTTCATAATTTGTCTGCTCTGCTGCATCCCTGTGTCACAAATCTTGTAGCCCTCAGAGCACTCCTGTTTCAGGCTTCCCACTCTTCTAGGTTCAGCTGGGCACTAGCTGTGGTAGAAGTATCAAGCTGTGGTAGAAGTATCAGAGTACAGGAGGCAGTCTTCCCTTTTCAGCTGTGATATCCCTAGTCTCTGCAGTCCCTGCTGTCCTGGACAAAGGATTGAAGGAAAGGCCTGCTCTTCCTCTCCTGCATTTTTGCTAGAAATGCTCTTGGAAATGTCTACAGGAGCCGTGTTGAGTTGGTATATGTTCAGTTCAGCTTCTCTGTTCTGAACGTAAAGTTGCAGGTGGGACTCAATACTTAAAACATGGTCAAATTTAGAAGAATTTTCATTGGCACAGCAAAACCAAGCTGAACTACTTTCTGAACTTGCCTAATATATTTAGATGAGATCAAAGTCTCAGCTAAAACAGTAAAAAGTTGCAGTCACCTAAATGCTAGATTACTATTATGTAATGATTAATACTGGCCAAATTTAACTTAGTGTTCATAGTATATTTTAGAGATGCATAATCATGCCAATGTTATCTGTTCAAAGACAAGTAGATGACTCTCCTTTGCCCCCAGATAATCTCCTGTGGTGTCATGTAGATCTAAACCATCAAAATAGTTCTTTCTGCCAAAAGGCAATGTTATTAATGTTTTTCTGTTGGGGGTTTTTTGTGTGTTTTTTTTAAAATAAAATCCTTTGCTTTTTCTGCTGTTTTCTCAAGGTAGTGATATAAAATAGAAGACATTAATTTCTTTATAGTTTCATCATAGATTGTTGAAATCTGACTCATAATTTATAATGCTTTCCTATTTTGCTTCATGAAATCCAGATTTGACCCCTCCTAATGTAGGTACTGTATTTAGTACTTTTCTGTACTCCATAAAAGTGTTAATTCTGCAGTTTTCTTTTTTTTTTCCTAGTTTCTTTAATACTCTCTGTCCTTTTCTGGTTGATTTTTTGCATTATTCTTGTGGTTTTTTATTGCTTTAATATGCCGTCATAAGAGAAGAAAAAAAACAAACCACAGGTCTAACATGCATAAAATGAGGGCAGGACTTGCAGTAAGTCAAATGCTATATAGTTCTTTCTGTGGGTTCCACCAGTAGGGAATTTCCATGAACCAAGATGTGAAGCTCTAGGCATGTGTGGGTGAGTAGAACTTTCTGAAGATCTCCAATTCCCTGCATATATTCCATCTTTTCAATGACTGTTCCACCCAAAGAGTATGATGTGGCTGTTCTTTTTGGTTTAAGACAACAAACACTGTGTGCATCAATTGACATCTGCTCTGACAGTGCATAACAAGTGTGGACTTGTATATGCAGAGCATATCCCTCAGCTATACTGACAGCAAAGTGCATGTTTGGAGTTACGTGGGGATGGAGGGGAGAGTCCTGACCCCAGTCAGTGGACAGCCTTTAACTGTGTGTTGCTGCAGCTCTAAGGAACTTCTCACTTGTAGGGAAGGCAGCAGAGTTTGGAGTCCAAGTCATACAGAAAGCTGAGTCCTTGGGATGTAGAGGAGAGTTTTTTGTCCCCCTATGTGTTCTCCAGTGTAGATTCCTCTGCTGAGGTAGCTTAGTCCACTGGCACAAGAGGGTTAACTTCTCCTGCTCAGGCTATCTGAACTTAGGGTGCAAATTCCATCTTTTGTCTTTCAGAGAGAACTGTAGGTATTTGGAGCCCTTCGTATTCTTGACCCTACCCCTATGGCTACTCCTCATGCAGTTCCATAGTATATGATCTCAAAGAAAGAGATGGCAATAAATGAAAAGGATGCTACCAAATTTGCTCCTCTCTTTTTTGTGTAGCTCTGCCCCCTTTCTGCAGTTTTCCAATGATTTTGGCTATCTGCTGCACCACTTAGCAGAAGATGTGCTCCTGATAGGATTACAAGGTATACTTTGAATAAAAGAATAGAGAGAAAAAATTGGTCAGCTCTCAGCCATCTGGAAAACTTAGGAACACTTATGTGTTGCATGACAAAGGGATTTGTTTAGAGTGGCATATTAAATATAGTATGTTGTGTGTAGTTCCTGGATTCCCACTATCCAAAAGGGTGCTGCCCAACTTGCATGCTCTTGCTCTTGCTTGGCTACTTTGGATTCTTTCAACAATGTTAAGCATGTATTTTAAAATTCTCAATCCGATTGCAGTTGCTGAGTATCTGCTTTTGTAGCTATGCTTTGTTTACAAAGAGTTCATGAAGTAATTTTGTTACTGTCTTTGCAATGGACAAGTGTTCCTAAAAGCAATTTGCAGTTGGTATTTTAGGTATTGCAAGCCAACTTGAAGTTCAGTAAGCCTAAAAACTTAAAAAAATAAAAAGAGCAAAAGGGCCTTGCTTCAAAATCCTATAACCTCGTAATAATACTAAATATAAATAACTCATAATAATTTAAATTTCATATAATGCTTGTATTTTTTTTCTGTCTTCTTTATGGAAGAACACTGATGTTTTTAATAACTTAGTTGTAAAATGTGATTCTTGGTCTTTTAAATTTTGTTGTGCAAAGAAATACATGAAACAAATCTGACAGCCTGAAGACCTTGCATGGTAGTATTTTTCATTGTTTCATCATATATTCATCAGTGACTGGTAATTTCTACAAGTAAATCTTTGAAATGAATGTCGGTTTGAATTGCATATGAAAGCTCATTATTTATAAAAGAAATTATATCAGTGGGATTAATATAAACTATTTCATAATAATTAGAAAGGGAAGGAACTGATAAGCTGGCCGAAACTTAAAAAATCTTATTCTGTTGGAAAAATGTCAGTTAGAGCTGAAATTTCTTATTTTTAATATATTTTCAACTCCAGAGCTTTTTCTATAAAAGAGGAAGAGACCTAGATTAAAATTGTAACCTTTGTCTAAAAATCAGTGTCATAAGCCTATTAAATGGAAAAATAATATTTAGGAGGGTTTTTTTCTATGCTAATATGATAAATACATGTTTATACAGTAGCTTCATTTTGCAGAAGCATTCATTGTTCTATAATCAACACAGAACTGCAGTAGTGAATGAGGCAGTTTTCATGCTACATAAACCTCATTAGACAAACTTGGTACCATTATCCTCTAAGGAAAAGACAAAAAAAGCAAAAATCTTGCTCATATTTTTGTGTTTGAGGCCTGAGAGAACCTGTTCTTTTACTGTTTTGGGAGGTTTTCTCCTTCTTCCATGTCCTGTTTTCTTAACTGTGGATTATCAGCCCAGTGGAATAAAGTGACAAGGTTATTCCAAGCTCACATATTTGGGCTAAGTATTTCCTTTAATGCTCTTTTTGATGTAAAACAGCTTATGCAGCACTGGTTCACATGCAGTAGGTCACAGATAACATTGCTGAAGGTAGTGTTGTATGTAGAAAACTAACGTATAATAATTACAAACTGTAAATTTATATAGAGAGTGTTTAGGGGAACCCATGATTACAACAGATAAAAACAATCTAGGTCAGGAAAGTGAAGCATGTTTGTATGGTTTTTTTACGACGTTTTTGGCATTTCTCATGAGCAGAGTTGCTAGTTAAAACTGCCAGAGTAACTAGTTCTCCTGGCAGTGTCAGTAGCTTCACAAATGTAAGAAATCCAATACTGCCTTGCTGAGTCTTCAGCGCTAAAAACTAAAAAGGGGAGGTCTGTTGTTTTCGAGAGGATCTTCACAAACTAATACTGGGAACTTGTGTGGAGAGAAGTGGAGCTGTAGTTTCCGGAGTGTGAGGTAATTGCAGTAAGTGCGTTAGTACTAACTTATTAAAATAACGACATCTCAATTTGAACTTAAGATAGCTCTGGTTACAATTTCCACTGGTTCTGGATTTAAGAAGTTATTATTAATCATCACTATTTTCTCCATTATAAATAAGTTAAAATATAGCCAACAAATTGCTTCTGTATTTTATCAAATTGTATTTACAAAGAAAAATGTAGTGTAATAGTATTCCATGTACTCCTCTGACCTTGTGCCCAGAACTCGGGGACTCTGAATTTGATAGGATTTCCTTGACTTATTCTTCAGTAGAGAACCTGCCAGGGAGTATGACTGAACTTTTTCTTTTTTTTTTATGTAGGGGGTGGGACATGCAAGTCACTTAAACATCACTTGTTAATAATGTTGCTTACTAAATTATTTCTCCAGTAACTTACATAGAATTATATTTGTCACCATAGGAGAAAGTAATGAAGAAAGGACTTTCAGAAACTGGATGAATTCACTGGGTGTAAGCCCATATGTTAATCATTTATATAGGTAAGGCTTTAAAAAAATATTTTATTTCCCTTGCATGATAGGGGAAGACGGGAAGAAGAAAGGTAGGTTGTATTTCTACTAGAACAGAGATTTCTAGGTTTCCACACAGTGTGATAGGAATTTCAAAACCAGTCTGTAGAACGGCATTAAGCAGTATCTGACTAAGATAATTCTATTCATTATTTAGAAAAAAATAGAACACCTGGTAAGTTTTCATGTGTGTCTCTCACTTGTACTTGGAATTACATTTTTTAAGAAGGGGAGATAATTATGTTTTATAATGCATGATTTTTCTTTTTCTCTTATGGCAGCTGAAATTACATCAAACCCATTATTTAAATAGTAATATAATTCTAAACTGTAAGAGAGGATAGATGCCTTCTGAGTAGACTGTAAGAATCCATGTAGTGTTCCCTCAAATAAAGGGCTTTAGCCCTTAGTGGTGTTTCAGATGACTTTCAAATTGTACAAGCAGTTGATTCAAATCCTAGCAATAAAGGATGGGATGTATGTGGCAACTGGGAACATATGCTTGCCTGTATAGTTGCTGTTAGATTTCATTGTTTCTGGTTTATGAGCTCTGGTAAAGTGATACCATCTGTAGCTAGCTTGATTTAGGTAATTCAGTTTAGCAAATAGCTGAAAGGGACTTTTTAGAAAGGAAATTTATAATGGGAATATAATACTTATCCTAATATTCTTTTTTCACAAGGTAAGTATGTTAGTTTTGATTATTCTTTAGCAAAGTGTATCTGTAGGTGCAGATAAAGGATGTGTATTTAACATTTTGGAAACCTTATCACTGGAGAAACTAAAATTAGGTCAATAAATGAAAACTCTTTAGATGTTTTATCTATGCCTGCCTTAAAAAATATTTAAATAGTTGCCAAAACCAGTGGCTGTGCTTACTTCACTGAGATTTGTGAAAATTATGAAATTAAATATACAATTTCATGTTGTTAATCACAGAAATCAAGCAATTGGATAAAGGTCAGTTTCTTCACAAAATGACTAACATTTTTATATGTGTGAATAGCATTTTTCAGCAACTTAATTACACTTGGAGAAGTCTCAAATAATTAATATTGTCATTGTGAGTATGAGCTTTTGTACTAAAACCCGTTATTTTACTCTGGTTTAGTGACCTCTCTGATGCTTTAATCATCTTCCAATTGTATGATATGACTCGTGTGCCAGTTGACTGGAGCCACATCAACAAACCTCCTTACCCAGTGCTTGGTGGAAATATGAAAAAGGTGGGTAGAAATTGTCTTTCAGTTCACTGTCGTTGTCTCCCATTGAGCTGTTTGTAGTAACTTGGGTTGTCTAGATACATGTGCTACTGAGACAGTCACAGGGAAAAAGAAAAGCAAAAAGTATCTTCCAGCTATTATCCCAAGTAATATATATATATATGTATAGCACTTAGAGCAGTTTCTAAATCTGTACATCTTTGGCAATATTTAATTTAGGGTCTAATTAAGGTATATAAGTGAAAATTTCAGGCCTGATGCAGCTGTCATTGCCTGATGCTCTGACAGGTGTTCCCTCACAGAGCAGTTTTGTATGCTGCCAGCAGAATTTGTGCAAGAGTTGCAGAATCCAAGCTTTCAGTTAATTCTGTGATCATTATGAAGGCAGAAATAGGAAAAAAAAATAATTAAGAAGAATACACTTTTTTTTTTTTCTAAATTCAGTTACTATGTAAGCATATATTAATTTGTTTCAGCAAACCTGGTTTTCTCAAGTGTGAAAAAAGATTGTAATTGGAATCTTGCATATCTGCATTTATAGTAAAAAAATTGTATTATTTTCATCACAGTGTAGAAAGGCTTGAATTTTTTCTCCAGATCTCACCATATGTAACAGTAAGCCAAATTAATTAAAAATACACATAGATTATAAGTCTGTATATTTAAAAATATTAAGGTGTCTTAATTATTTGCACACAACATTTATTTTTAGATTGAGAATTGCAATTATGCAGTAGAACTCGGGAAGACAAAAGCCAAATTCTCACTGGTGGGTATTGCTGGACATGACCTAAATGAGGGTAATCCAACTCTGACCTTGGCTTTGGTGTGGCAGCTGATGAGAAGGGAAACTAGCCACAGTATGCCATAGATGTGGATATATGTCTGTGCATATGTCTCTATATTAAGGTAAATTTAAGCTAATGTTCAGCTCACCTAACAGGTATGTTAGCAAGTCACCTCTAAATAACTCTCTTATCTAGGATTAAACTTCATGGGGTTTTTTTGTAGTTTTATATACTGTGTAGTGATTGAAACCACAATAGTGTCTGTCTACACATTGATTTACAGAGACAATTAAAACCTTGTCTACTAAAAAGTAATTAAAATTATAAACTCTGCAGCAAGTAAAAAAAGCAGAACTTCATGTGGATTCCATGTACCTTTCCATAAGCAGAGAATAATTTAAATATCTGAAATCAAAAAAGAAAGATAAATAGGAAGAGATGATGTATGTTATAGAAGTTAAAATGGGAAGTAATTTTTAGGCTATGACAGCTGCAGTAATACAACTATCATAAAATAAAAATTTTGTTAGTGCAGTCACCAGGAACAAAATATATTAAACATTAATGTAATTTACTTCATTTCAAACACTTCTCACAGGTTAATTTTCTTACACTCAGTGTTCTTGATTATCAGACTGTTGCAACTCACAGATGGTAGGTAGCCATTTAAGCTTATACAGTAAAATTAGTTATGATGTGCTGAGTAAAACAATTATATGAAGTAGACATAACAGTGAATATTACAAGTTTTGGTTCTTACTTTATTATTGCAACAACCAAAAAAGTAATTTAAATTACTATATTATTCCTATGGTAAGGGTACCTTATCAAGATGAATACTTGGCATTGTTACTGTGCTGAGGTAATACTTTACTGTTGCTTGTAGCTTTGTACTGTTTGCAGAGTTGAGTTCTACCACTCACTATAAGACTCTTACTTGCTTTCAAGGTATACTTTGAACGTACTATCAGACCTTGGAGAGGGGGAAAAAGTAAATGATGAAATTATTATTAAGTGGGTGAATCGGACACTTGCAACAGCAAATAAGAAAACTTCAATCACAAGTTTCAAGGTAATTGAATTAATTTGCTTTTCTTCTTTCCGCATAAAATCAGATCCGGAGTTTTTAACCTGATCTGGTAACAACTTGGCTTTAACAGTGGCTCTCCTATCAGCTAGCATACTTGGATAAAGAAATATGTTTGGCAGTCTGTGAAGTATTTTACAAGTCTATTAGTTAGAAACAAAAAAATAATTATAATTGCTGCTGTAAGATTTAAAACAAAACAAAACAAAAACCCAACAGCAACAAAAAAGAGGCCAAACTTCCCAAGGGGCTTCTGTCAGAAGCTGGAAACGTTTGGGCATGGCACGTTATATGGCACGCTTAAACCTGTACAAACATGAAGAACAATTTTGGAAATGCTGGGGAGGGGGTAAATTGCCATTTTTAATAATAGCTGGTCAAAAAGATGTACTCGTGTCCAACATAGCCAGGAGAGGGGGCACAAGTTAACCAGTGACATCTTTTATCTGTACTGGCACTGCTGATACAGACCTCTACAAAACAGGAACTTGCCACGTTCAGCAAATATGAACAAAGCACCAAAGGAGCTTTCCCTTCACATTTTTAGTGTCAAATATGAAAGAAGTCATACGTATGTCAGGCGTGTCATGCTGTTTGATTCTCATTCTTTAGAAATGGTACATTAATAATTGCCCTTGCAAATCAATAGAATATACTTATACAGGCTCATTTTATACTCTCCAACAGTTATGTCTGCGGTTCACAAAAGGAGTGTTAGAACCTACCAAGTTAAATACCTGAGAGCTCATTGTATTATGAAATTGCATTAGGCAAAAGGTGATATAAAATAATTCTATAGAGCAAAATATTTAGTATAGGTAATTGTCTTAAATGGGATTGCTGCTTTTCGTATTTCTACATAAATTGTAATAATGGTGGTATAAATAAGTTGAAAGTACAAAGAAATTCTGTTTGTGGTATGCCTGTGGTTTGGGGGGGGACATTGTGTCTTTAGGGTAGTTCAAGTAATAGATCAATAAGGAGCTATTGATGTAAAGTGACATTATTCAGCATATCTTTTATACTACTGATTTTTCAACATTCGCATATATTTCACAGTTTGAATTTTTGTCTGTATGCTAGGGTTACTGCAGTAAGCAGACTGGGTAGCAGAGCAAGTAGAGGTCCCTGACATTTATTGAAGACTATGAAAGCAAGGTTCTATTGAACTACCTTTAGTTCAAACAATAATCATAATAGAGGTGTGGGTTTTGGCTTACAGTCCTGGGGAGATATTTTGAGAGGTTCAATGTCTTCAAGATTTATGGTACCATTAAAAAATGTATAATGTGGTGGCCCTATGGTTTGACATCGTCAGCTGCTTATCTGCCCTAACAGGTGGGAAGAAGTAATTGGAGCAATAGCGGTTGCCGTTTTAAGAACAGAAAGAAACATGTCTGTGTATTAAATACAAAACACAGACTGCTTGAACTAGCTCAGAATACCATCTGAGTTGAAAAATTATAAAGTGAGCCATAAACTACTGCAGAATATAGTTCCACTACAAGACAAGGAGAAAAATAAAAGTAGTTGGGAAATGTAAATACCTTTTTGTTGTCTTTAAACTCTGATCCTTAGACTTCTTTCAAAGCTCCCTGCCTTCCTTAGGGAAGTTTCATTACATCTATTTAAACGATCTTTGTAATAATATCAGTACTGATTGTGAACCTTAAGATTTTGATTGCAGAAAATAACATTTGACCTCATAATGGAGGGGAGAAACTTTCATGCAATTAACAAAATGTGCTGCTATCTTTCAGTAGGGATGTAAGATGTGTGTAAGGGATTTTTGCATTGTGAAAACAGAATAATAAAATATTCCTTATACTCATCTTTCAAGTCTTATCTTTTTTAGGACAAATCAATCAGTACTAGTTTACCTGTCCTAGATTTAATAGATGCCATTGCACCAAAAGCAGTTAGTCCAGAAATGGTCAAGAGAGAAGATCTTTCTTATGAAGACAAATTAAATAATGCTAAGTAAGTTTAAAATGCATGCTTTGTGTTTTCCTAACGTGCAGGAAATGCGTGAATTGATTGTGTAATGAATGATTTACTGATTGTTTTAAGATTACACTAATATTGATTTGTTTCAAATGTAGTATATATTATAAATTCTTATATTCTAGAGCTGTTTTTATAACATATATAAATTCTGAACTCAAATTCACAGCTCATATGACCTATCACCACTGCCCTGTAACTGGTTTGTTAATAGCCTGAGATAACTCATCTTGGTTTTGATAAAACATTATTTGATAACCAGTAGCAGAACATCTACCACTACAATTGCTAATACATGCTTTCTTCACAATATTTTCCACTTTCTGTTAGTAGCTAAGTACTGACTGAACCAGTGTTTCTTGTTGTTGATATTGGCACACTAGTAGATGCAAGGACAGTAACAGTATTTATCTCCTCTTGTTTTCCAAGGTATGCCATTTCAGTTGCTCGAAAAATAGGAGCTCGTATATATGCTCTCCCAGATGATCTTGTTGAAGTGAAACCAAAAATGGTGATGACAGTGTTTGCATGTTTGATGGGACGAGGACTGAACAAAATATAATGAAGACCTGTAATACAACTTTCTGCCACATTAAGCATGATGAATGCCTCACAGTTTACAGAATTCGGAAGCTTAGTATGAAAAGAGAACATTTGAATGCACAAATACACCTGTTAAATACATTTTGATGTGTTTATATTAGTTAAAATTCTATTAATTTTCTTTAGACATAGATTATTTATGGGTAGGATAGTATTCAGAACATATTCATTACCAAATGAACATCACAGATTTGTATTGCTTTAAGAAAACCCCCACACCATGTTAATCAAGCATGGTTTGTATTGGTTTCCTTAGCACTCTATGCATCTGCATACATTTGCATATGTTATTTCAGGACCTATTGTAAAATATTGGTTCATTTTTGTGGATGTTAGTTATATGTAGTCATACAAGACTCAAGGTGCATTCTACTCCTAATCATATTACTTCTAAACTGCACAGAAATTATCATCCTTGCCTTAGTCTTTGAGAGCCTAATTCCTGTTGAAGCCAATGAGAGTCTTATCAGTGACTTCAGTGAGAGCAAGTGAAGGCCTGTGAGAATGACTGGAAACTAATTAATATTGATAAAGCTGATGAAACCTTTATGGGAGAGTAATCTTTAAATACATGTAGTAGTTCTGTTACTGAGCAGGAACTTCTATAGTCTGTGTCTTAAGAAAAAACAGCAAATAGTGAGCAGAAATGTAATCATGTCCTAAGTTAGGTTTGCCTGTGCAGTAGCTTTTGCAGTTGCATACTCATCTTTTTTAATTTTTCCTTTTTTTTTCCTAGAATATTGTGTAAGAAAATAAAGACTTGGCTAGTCCAGGCAGGGTATTGCATTTCCTAATAGATTACTCCTTTGATTTTCCTGTAGTGTATATAATGTGTGCAGAGGTTTTGTCTTCGAAGACTGGTGTATTGTCTGGATGAGATGAAGTCCATAATTTTCTTATTTTAAAGTATTCTTTCTCTGCAGCTGTAAATGTTAAGCTAACATTCTGGAGCTGGATGTTGATTAAAGCTGTTAGCAGATGCCAAACAGTAAGAAAGAAGAAAACTAAATTGAAAATAAATACTGTTGTGTTGGTTTTTTTTCCAAGTATGAAACTATTTCTCGCAGCTCCTGAAAACAGTTTTAAGTGTGGCAAAAGCCAGAAGTCATGATAAGTGAACAGCTGGACTAAGAATAAATTATTAATAGTTGATAGTTACCTGTTTTATATTCCCAGTTCTAAGCAATGACAGTGTTGTATAGGATTTGATTACTTGGAGGCAAATCAGTTTGAAGTCCTCGTTCAAGGCAGGCTAAACTAAGGCTTACTTGAACTCTATACCACAAGAATAAATTATCTTTTCTTGGACAATACGGTTCTAAAGGATTCTATTTACCTGCCCAGGCTCGCAGATGTCAGTATTTCCTGTTGTCTTAACTGTTGCTGTAGAATTTTGTTCCCTTAAGGGAACTGAAATGGGTTTTCAGGGGTAACCATTTCATCCTCCTCAGCCTAAACCTTTGACGTATAAGCTCCGAGGGCTGAATGTTGAAGGATCAATGACAACTCGCACCACCTGAAAGGAACTTGTTTTCTCAGAGTACTGTAAACAAGATGTTTCTAAAGATGCCGTGAGAGGCTGCCCGGCCGCTGCCGGCGGGAGGGAGGGCAGGCCCAGCTCGCAGGCCCAGCCCGCAGGCCGGTGCCACAGCCGCGCTCCGCCCC